GCTCCAGGAAGGGGGTTGGTCAGATGTGAGGTGCCACCAGGGAGGTACTTGGAGCCTGGAAGGTGGTCAGGCGCAGTGAGGTGGGTAGCTCAGCGTAGGAGCACCCCTTGCTGGCCCGCCACAAGCTCTATATACATTATACAAACACAGATCATGGCAAAAATATTGTTTGTAATAAAATTAAAATATGTTATAGTAGGTGTTTGACTTTTAGTGTATGATTTGATTCTTTTCTTGTTCTAAGATGACAACCCTCCCCCCCACCCCCCGGAGTATTTCCAGGGGGCAAAGGAAGGACTTCTGATGGCAAAGGCCTGGGTTTGGCATGGGACTTCTGGTCCCAAGATGGTAACAAGGGGGCAGAGCAACTGTCAAGGGGCGGGAGTACCCATGCAGTCCTCGACAGCTCATTCGTTAATCCACTCAAAATAATTGCCCGCCCCTAGTTTAAAGTCAATACTAATCTTAAATTCATTTCAATCTCCTTGCAGGCACTTGGGGGCCTTGTGATTGCTGCTGTCATAAAATATGCAGACAATATTTTAAAAGGATTTGCAACTTCTTTGTCTATTATCTTGTCAACATTGATCTCCTATTTCTGGTTGCAAGATTTTGTCCCTACTAGGTAAGATTCATTTTCCATGTATACTCACATATGAACATTACCAAAGATTTAAATGCCTGGTAGATACTGATGGAAAATAATATTTAGAAATATGGTAAGAATTAGTTGTAAAGTTCTGGGTTCCTGATCTTAAATACAAAAACCTAAAGCCTCTTGCCCTAGTTTCATAACAAAGCAAGCCACAACATCTTTTGCTTAAGCACTGCAGATTGAGTTTCCTCTTAGATCCTTCCAAACAGCCCATCATAAGTCATTGAAGTAAACTAAACTTATTTCTGATTTTTATCTAACCACTCTGCCCTGACCATCTTGGTTTTTTAATATGCTGTTCTTCCTCTTTGTTGTTTTTTTCCAGCTCTCTCAACCCTTTTCCTCTTTCAGCTTCTCAACCCTTATTCTCTTCCAGTTCGTTTGATTTTTATTTTGTCCTTTTCATTTTCTTAGTTCATCTTGTTCTACCTTCCTTCTATTGTTTTTGTTTTGGTTTTTTTTTGCTAGTTCAATCCCTTTTCTTCCCTAGTTCAGACCTGAGCACCTTCCTTTCTGACTTTAACCTCATTCCAGAATTTGCACTTATTTTTTCCAATATCTGAGATTTGACTGTGCTGTACTTAGCACAGCCCCTTGGGAGCCTCAGGATGCTACTGTTTCTTCATGCTTAGTATCACTTCTGTCCCTCTTTAGAACTGTCCCTAACACTGACAGTGGTATAGCTGGTCTCTTGCACTCTTTGCTGTCTATTTCTTCAGTTCCAGGTGAGTTACATCTGAAGAGTAATAGTGAAGGTAATACCTAGCACTTGTACTGTGTAATTCATCAGGTTTCTAAGTGCTTTACAAAGGAGGAAAGTACTATGAGCCCCATTTTACACATGGAGAAACTGAGGCAATTAGGTAAATGACCCATTGTAAACACAGCAGACCTAAATCTCCTGAGTTCCTTCCCCTTAAGATGCTCTCCAAAGAAACGTGGAGGTTTTTTGGTTTTGGTTTGTTGCTTTTTTTTGTAAAGACACATTCCAAGACTACTCCAAGCATAATACAGTATAATTTGAACTCTTATGATTCCTCAGGTTTTGGTAGTTCTGGCACACTGTGCAATTGTGCAGTGGCAGACCATTCTGTATTGGCTTTTAATATTTTACCACACATTGAGTGTGCTGGGTATTGGGATATTAGTATGCCAAGTTTCAGTTTTATGTAAAATTATACAAATGTGATCATTATAAGGGACCTACATAATCCAAAATGGACTAAAAATATCTTGAAAAGTAGCTGCTTGTGATGCAAAGTAGATTCTTTCTAAAACAGACTGTAGTCTAGCACAAACTGAAATTGTTTGCAGTTAGGAAAAGTTTAGGTGACAGTTACAGTCTGTATTAAGGCCTACCAAAATTTCTGAAAATGAAAAACAGCAGCTATAGGCCCTGTGGGGGGAGGGGGTATGGGATGTTTCTTATTGTTATTGTTGTAGATATTTCATTTCAAATTGCTGTCACATTTATTTAAATTGTATATCCTGCCCAGTGCTTCATAAAAAATGAGGTCTGTATGTATATCTAATATACAGTATTGATATATGTATACTTTTATATGCATACCATATTATTATGGTAGTTAAGCCCTGCCTACTCTTTTATACTAGTTTTTT